GATGTTTTGTCCAATTGATTGTTTATGAATAGACCCCTATCGGGAAATACCACCGAGTTTTTTATCCATAGCGTAGAGGTGTTGGTCGAGCCGAGCACTGGGCGATCATTTTTTAATGGGGGCAGTATCCGGTCCACTGGACACCACCCTGTAATATATATACAGTTAATAATCTATAAATAGCTTATAAATTATTTCATGATAATTTGATTAAAAAAATAAAATACCCCTAATTTCGCACGTGTGTTCATAATCCCAAACAATTGAGCCTGATGTATTTTTCTGTGTAGGAAAATCAGCAGGCACACATTTGCCCGTTTGAACACCAAACGGAGTTTGCCGGCCGTATCGACAGTGAGTTTTATCGCCCGGTTTACACAAAGCCTTATTAACCCGGGGGTGATCGGGACAGACGGTCAGTGTCTGGTTGGCAGTGATGGCCATATTTGTCATAACGTATACTTCGCGGGGATAATAGTGTGCGTAATCTTTCGCATCCCAAACCCGGTTGTAATTAACAAACTCTTTGGGCTTTACATAGTTTTGGTCAAAATTATCGGCCGATTCGTTCACTTCGACGGCGCCCCTGATCTTCAGATTTAGTGTACTGTTAATTAGAGTAATAATTAATTATTATTAGTTAATTTTTTATGATAGATTTAAAAGGTAAATATACCTGTAGAAATTGTGCGTGGTTAAAATATTTTGGTGGTTGTATAACACCCAGCAGACAATTAGAGTCCAGACAATTGCAACAAAACAATAATATATAATGTTTAGCCATTTATTACCCCGAAATATAATTAACTTATAAAGAGAAAAGTCATAGAAATTCATTATGTATTCATTATATTTTGTGATTAAAATCTAAAACATATAATACTTTATAAAATGCATTTATTTTTACTGTTTTAATTCTAAGAACTATTACAATCGTATAATTATTTATAAATATTAAAACATTATTTCATTTGTTGATTTAATTTTTATATCAATAGTTTCAATATTGTTATTAATAAACAAATTTTATAATCGGAAACATTATGCTATTATTTAGGGTTGTTTTACTACATGATAACATTTTGTATATAATTAACATTATGTGTTATTATAAACACAATGCTTACATATAAATTTAGATTCTATATTATAGAACCTTGGTTGAGTGAAAACAAAATTATGTAGCAAGATAAGTCTATTATTTGCTTTTGAATATTTAGTAATAAATATATAATAAATAATATAAATTTTATTTACTTTAAAAACAATTCATTAAAACTAAACAATAATTGTTAACTGATAAGTTATAGTCCGTTTGGTGTTCAATTTTATCAGTGATAACTTATAAAATAATACATTTAATTATATCTGTACTTATAATATCACAAAAATGTTACTAAAATGAAATGGTAAATCATATTTACTAAATTTAGTAGTCTTTAAGCGTTCAGCTGTTGTAATCATAACATACAGAATATAGAATTACATACGGAATACTTGACATCTAATGTATAAGAAAGTGATTTCACAGAATATTCTGTCAAATAAAAAAATACAGTTAATAAGAAATCACAAGTAAAAGGGTCTATAATGACAATATTTGGTGAGACTTTAAGAGAGAGAGAGAGCGAGAGAGAGAGAGAGCGAGAGAGAGAGAGCGAGAGAGAGAGAGAGAGAGCGAGAGAGAGAGAGCGNACTGTTTTTTCAATAATTTACATGTATTATCATTATATCCGATACGATAATCATTTTTATTATATAAAAAGTTTATTATAATTTGTGATATAAACACCATTTACAATATTATACGGGGTGAATAATGTATGCAAAATCTTTTATGTCAGTTTATTTTATAGTAGAATTGTTATACATTGTAAGATATTTCCATCAAAATAAATAATTTATTTCTATATTTACTGTATATAAGGTTATAAACATAATTTTAAAAGTGTTAAATTTTATGTGTATTTCAGCATAATAAGACAAAATATTATAAATTATAATTTTACAAAAAACAACAATATTTTAAATTTAATATTTCAATGAATTGAGACATAAATCAACAAATTATTTATTTATTATAAAAATTGATTTCTATAAGGAAACCTCAATTAGTATAATCACATGAGATATATATTCATTAGGATTTGATTTTGAAAGAGAGAGAGAGAGAGAGAGAGAGAGAGAGAGAGAGAGAGAGAGAGAAAGAAAAGTGTCGGAAAGAGAGGCTTAAAGTATATATCATTACTGCTAAGAATAACAACACTTTTCTCACACATCAACCGCTTGTCAGCAAATATTTCATAAATGAATCCAACATTTCATAGACATTGAGATACTCTGTATGAGAGAGAAAGACATAAACCCCTATGAATTAAATATAATAACTGTTGCACTCGTGTTATAATCGGCTTTCGGTTTGGAGTTGGATTCACACATCTCTTAACACTTTCATTAGTGGTGGAGAGAGAGAAAGAAAGAAAGAAAGAAAGAAAGAGAGAGAGAGAGAGAGAGAGAGAGAGAGAGAGAGACTGAAAGAGAGTAGTGAATCGTTAGTTAATGAGCAGAAGTGACTGTCATATACTGTAACCATATTTTATGTCATTATTATTAGCACCACATTTGACACATCCATATCCTATATGATGGGGCGATACACAGGACATGTATACACTATATACACAATATGTCTATTATGTATAGTATTCCCCTCCAAGTGTTCCCAATAGTTATCATTTGCTGTGAATTAATATTATGAACAAAAAAATAAACTTTCTATGGCTTTGGGCCTAAAGTTTTTTCTATGTTTATTTGGCCACACATTTAGTTTTAATACCATATGTTATTTAATATACCATATATTTAATATCGAAGGGCTGTTTATAATTAGAGACTCTCAAAGCAAATATTTTTCGGCTATAATATCGCCGCTATTTATATATCTCTTTATAAACTAAATGAAATGTAATTATGTTTTTAAAAAGTTTTTTTTGAGAATTATATTTTGATTGATGGCTAAACTTATGGTACAGTCGTTTGGATTTACTTATATTTATATTTTTTATAAATTTGATACTTTTGTGGACTATTTTTGCTGTCAAAATTTAATTGCAATTAAATTTCTAAATATTAATTGGGTTGAAGTGATGATTATTAAATTTAAAAATAATTATTGTAAATTATAAACCAATTTACAAAATAATTTTAATTAATTTTAGTTATAAACACATTATCACAAAAATTAATAAAAACACTTGCCATAAAACTTGTAATAAAAATTAATTAAACAAATAAAATAAAGACATTTCTTAATTCACTGCTAAAACAATACATTACATAACAAATATAATAATAAATACAAAACATATTAATTAAGTCAATACCCCATCCCATCATAAACAGCGCCTACACAACAGCCGGTGCTCTCATTCATGGCATTTATAGCCCCTCTCTGTGAGAGAGTGGGTGTGGGAGGGGTTGGAGGGGAAGGGAGGCTATGGTTTGGTGTGTGGAGTGAGTTGTTATATACAGTATGCTTAAAAACTTTATTAATTTCATAGTATTTATATTATTAACACATAAAACAAAAAAGTACACAAAATATTGCGTTTTTGGGCACAAAAATACTATAACAATAGTTACTATCCCTTCGGGCTATCGTTGAGATGCGAGAGAGAGAGAGAGAGAGAGAGCAAAACGATATAGTTTGAAAGTAATATATGTTAATTTGTATATAAAAGTATTTCATATTATTATAACAAATATTATATAACTGTATTTTTAAGTATAATTTTGTTTATTAAAATATAAATGTTGATTTGTATAGAATAAATTTACAATTATAAAATAGTATGCAAAATTTTATAGTTAACATTGATGGATCTTAATCATATAAAGACACACAATATACCATTTCCTGTACACGATTACCACTACAAAACCATTGAGAAAATATAATTAACATTTTAAGTTTTAAAAATCTTAAACTCTCCTAAAAAATATTTGCATTTATACCGAGATATTAATATATGCCATTAAAATACGTTATAATATAATGATAACAATATCTGAAGATAATAAGTGAATTGATTTTTTAAAAATATCAAACAATGTTTGTGTACACACTCTCACTATACCAGTCGTTGTGTGGTCTCTAATACATGCATATTATGTGGAAAATAGGATATTTATATAAAAGTTTGAGCACTTTTACACTCAAAACACTGAGTTTTTCCCTTAAAAATGCACTCAAAAAATGAATCTCTTTTATAAGTATGTAATTAGTGGAGGGATTCGCTACAACAACATAGCTCTCTCTCTCTCTCTCTCTCTCTCTCT